AAATGAGAGATTTCAGAATATGGAGGAGCATAAACGGAGTAAACAATCATGGTACTAGGGGGAAAACTTCGCTCAATAATTCAAAAAAAATCCGTTTCTGACGCCAAAGCTACCCGTGTTACGTTAAGTGAAAAGTCATCGCAAAAAGTAGATATTTACAATTGACTGCAGATTGTTTTCATTAAGTCTTTTATGGCTTCGCATGCATGAACCTATTATGGGTGGGGAGGGGGTTTTATTCACGATTCTCGTCATAATTGAATACAGAAGAGCTCACAGTTGGAACGTTCAAAGCTAATACAGTTTCAATCTCGTCGCTAAAAGCATACATTTTCAACTAGGCAAGAAGAAGACATCATCAAAATTCTCATGAAGGTGGAATAATGCACTTTGGGAAAAGTAAAAAATAGTTTGTACGAACCTCGTTTCCGTGAATCACTACACTTAGAATTTTCTGATTTTTCGCCCTGTTTTTAGTGTCATAAATTAAGAATCATTGTGAATTACCACTGTCTCTTCAGAGATGGACCCTTTTTAGCGCTATCCGTTTGATTGGAGACGAAAAGGTACTGTAATGCAATAAATGAAATTTTAAGTAAATGAGCGACAAACGCGTGAGACCTAAGACATTCTGCCAGTCTTTGCATGAAACAAAAATTCGAGAAATCCGCGAAACGAAAACTGTGTTTTAAGGAAAATTATTGGAAAAAAGACGCTTTGCAGTTTACTATTGATTACCAATTATCCAATTTCAAGCGTTATTTCTTTGGCATCTAGTCAACTCCTCGTGAATCGATTTACCTTTCACATGTAGTAAATTGTGAAGTAAATAATAATTAATCCTCTAGAAAAATAGAGGCTGCAAACAATTCTCTTGGCGTAAACAACATCAGCATCTCCCTAAGACTTGATGGACCTCCCCCCCCCCCTATTCCACATGCAATCTGGCTCCACCTTTGGCAAGTTTTATTTTGATTTGTGGATCATTTATCAAACGTGTTTATTAGTGAAGGGCTTATTCGTGTGTAGGCAATCACAGTCACTTTCTTTGGGCTAAATGGGCTCACCGTGTTTGTAACTGAAGGTAGTCCTAAGTCAATCAAAGCTTCGAGTTTAACTAGCACTTTTATGAACATTTTATTTCATTGTCATTTATTCAAGTCAATTTGTGGTGCAATTGGAAATAATACACTCGAGTGGACCTGGGAGTAACTGCAGTTTGTGAATCGATCAGGTGATCATATTGAGATCTGGTCTTTTTATCACTTAAGGGTGGCAACCGACCTAACGATTTGCGAGGGATCGAGTTATACTACTTAATAATTGAAGTGAAGCCTGATAAGGATTTCAGCCATCCAGATTTTGTCTTCGAAGAAGGCGACTTGTGAACAGATTGGCATTTTAGATAATCGAGGCAAATTGCCTTGAATATACCCGTAATGCAAATAGTATTGATAGAGTTGCCCAGCCGGCAACTGACAGTAAGAACTCTGTCAGTTGTTGAAGTGGATAAATCAATAACAAGAATATTGATATATAAGCTGCTTATCACACCCTTGTGATGATTGGCATTATGACTAACTGACCTTGGACAAAGCCGAGCATTGACTGTGCCTGTTACGGCACATATTAGGTACATATTTAAGTGTAGAATACTTTTAGAGACAAACCATTAGATTGACAGGGTGCAAAAGGGGCATTTTGAGGCTCTTAAAATTCTTGTTTCATCATTTTTACTTATTTTTTTTAAAAATATAAAGATATTCGTGCCTTTTAATAAGTTTCGTAATTCTAAATGGAGAAAGGCTTACATCTCTTCCTCCTAAGGACTCGAAAGGTGAAAACTTATTTTAACCGTAGTATCACTAAACGTGTAGTGGATTTCATGGTCAATTTTTAATGATCTTGATATCCGATATGGATCGATTTCGTTCATAGTTGAAGTATAACTGTGTATTTTCATATGAAAAATGTGGTTAAAGATGTATCGAATTTTGTAATATGTACTATGTTACCAATACACCCCTTAAAATAACACTTTTTCGCAAAGCAAAGGATTCAAAAATTAGTGCGTGATTGGTACTTTAAATTGATTTTCACTTTCCAATCAACTGAATAGTGAACTTCGAAAATAAGCACAACTGAAACCCATGTTAATACAAGAAAATAGGCTTTCCAAATCGACTAAGGAAAGGACCTCCAGCTCTTGAATCAGATCGAGGAAAGCTAATCTAAAATTGTCCATATTGTTGCATAATCAAACAGTATTTAAAGCTGTTAATTGATGCGTATGCCTTTACTTGAAAGTGAATTTACTTGAGCGCTTAGAAACTTATATCAATTTTTGATTGAAATTTGCAATCTGGTGACGTTTGTAATGAGTAATTAAAATGAATTTTTGCCTAGTTTCCACTAGACCTGTAGTACCTGCGTCCTCAGACTCTGTGGTTTGCTCTATCTCTCCCTGAATTGTCCCCCCCCCCCCCACCCCCACCTCCACCCTCAAATCCGACTATCGCTCTTATCTTAACTGTCAGCGAATAAATAACGCGTTCACTGGCCCTATCATACTCAATTTCGCATGTTAACCACAATTCGATTTCTCCTCCTTCGGTACTGAGGTATCCCCTCTCCCCACCCCCACCCCTCACCCCAATCCTCCCTAATAACAAGTCTTTTTCTTCCTCATTCAAATTCCAAGTTTATACGAACCCAAATCTTGACATTCTTACTAGTCAAAGGCAGTTACTACCCGTTAACCGTGAGAAGTTCAAGGTTTTAATGAGTGACCATTCGGTCTAATAGCGGTAGGTTAACCCTAGCTTTCAATGAAAGACTCTCAATAAGATTATCTACTTTTCTTTCACTCTCACTATCAGATAAAAAATGACTTATTGAATACCAAGGGAGGACCCTTACTCACCTTATTTTCAATATCTGCAGGCTCTAATGGCATAAAATTCTGTACCGCAGCTAAATTTAGTAACCGGATGTATATACCACTAAGCTGACTAACAGGACATTTCACCCACGGTCATGTGCGGACATGTTCACTGGGTGTGGTCTCGAATATTATTAATTAGCTAAATCTTATTTTGTAAATTAAATGGCATCGCTTAATCACAATTTTAACCAATTTTTCAGTTAGTGTTTTATTCAGTTCTACGCCAATGCCCTAATGGCTGGCACTGGCGTGGAAATCCAATAATCAATAAGTCATTGCAAGGTGGGGGGGGGGGGCGTAGCGAGATAGGCTTACCCACACGTGATGCACTTGGACAGCGTATACTCATACGGCGAAAAATTTTATAAACCGCCATGACCCGACTATGTGTCATATTCGACCACTTTCACAGTACTCACCTTTTCTCTACCTTTGTGTCTGGCTTTCGACATTTTGTGACTTTGATGTTTCTCCCCTCTGTGAAGCCCGAGGTCAATTAAAGGATTGATGATGTCTACATTAAGCCCACCATTTGACATAAATAAATAATTTAGGTAACGCAAGAGAGAACCAATGTGAGCTTCATTCGGGTGCTTTGAAATCATTTCCTATCAACGTCACAACAAAGAAATTTCTTTTGCAAAAGACGTTCTGGCAAATAAATAAAGAGATAGCAATCACGAAGGAAGTAATTTTAATGACTGAGGTCTTTCACAGGGGACAACAATTGACGAGCTTTGATGGCCATTCAATTTATGAATAGCCACCGCTTTACGAGTTAGCTACTTATATGTACCTTCGGTTTTACCACTGGGGCACTAGCTAAATGCTCGTCAGTAGTTAAGCCTAGCAAGTAAAAGGCAAGACTAAGATTCTGATGTCTCGCTAGGAAGACACGATCTAGCTTCCCCCAGGCCAAAAATAAGGTTTGAAATATGTATTCGAAAATTGCTTTGAGAAGCATTATTTGCATTGTCTTGGCAGATAGTATGGAAAAATACTATTGGCCTAATAGTTCGGAGAATGGATGAAATGAACTGTTAAGGATAAAGAGTCGTTCTGCTGGTCAGTGGAGACTTTCAAGCAACTTCCTCCTTCTCTTCCTCTCCTTAGTCTGAGCGCGTTTAGTTATGGATGATTTAGGACGTGAGGATGTGATCAATTGTTCGTTGTTAGAAGTATTCTTCGAATTGAATCAAACAGAACCGTGGTCCATTGTCCGACATCAGAGTGACCGGGAGACTATGCTTCGAGAAAGTGCGAACAAGTGCATTGTATTGATTTTTGGTGGCTTTGATACTAATTCAGGATACAAGTGTGATTGCCAGCCCACCAGTACTGCGGGGACAACACAATTGATAGAACCAGCTAAAGTTTTCATGCTATTTTTTCCTTGTTGACTAAGGTGAAATATTCAACGATCTATTTGGCAGCCATGAAAATTGACTCCTTTCCCACCCAACAGAAGTCGATAGTGAAATAGATCCAACAAGTTCCCTCCTAACCATTAGGTTAGTCGCTTTGTTCCCACAAATTTTATGACCTTTCTGACATTTGAGCCTCGTACTGAACAGCGCCCTTTCCACAGCAGTAACAGAAATACTTCTGATTGAATCGACAGGTACGTTCTATACATGTTATTCTGGGGATATGGTAATAACGAGCGTGCATTCTACAGGAGCTTGATGTTTCGTAATTAATCGTGATAATGCATCTGAATGGCTGAACACAGTCCTCCGATATATGACTGCGAAACCCTATCCCATCAAGACTATTAGCTAGAGCTTATGAAAGTTCGTTGAATATGGCGGAATGCTGTTCTCGGTTCCATAAATTGATAACGGATAGTTGCGGTCTATTAGAGTAAAGTGACTATCAGATAATAGTCAATATCAAGTGTATCTTTATTAATTTATTAATGGTTCTTTTCTACTGGTGCCAGTTAAAGCCTTCTCTGAGTCATCTGAGAAAACACGTGTGGATCGCTTCTCCGGTAACCAAAATTTGAATATCTTCTGCGATTTGGTTCTAAATTAGAACAAGTCAGAGGCGCTTCTCATTTCAACATTAATTTCAGTTTCTCAAACACTCGATGACAGTTATCGGACCAGTGCCCAACAGCGTCTTTTAGAAGGAAGCGATTTATTGGTCCACGAACTTCATAAGAGGAATTTTCGCGACTGCTGGGGTAACGAATGGATCCCAGGAATGAACAAAGTGGTTGGATATCGGTCGCATATCGCATATTTACAATAGCTCGATGTCTTTCAGGAACGAGGTGGCGATCATCTGAGTAAATAAGAACGATGAATTTAATGATTTCAAGCAAAACTCATCCTTTTTTGTTCTAAAATGGCAGTGGTAATCGGTAATGACTTCAAGAAGATATTTAATTCGTTCCTTGAGTTATCACTCCATTGATTCAACTCTTATGAAGTCATTCATATGGCCTCCGTGGGGCAATCGGTTAGCGCGTTCGGCTGTTAACCGAAAGGTTGGTGGTTCAAGCCCACCCGGGTGCGTGAGCTCTGCCTCTTCTTTGGGGTGTGAGACAGACTTACCTCAACGTGGTACACCCCAGGCAACGTATATTTATGCGGCAAAAAAGTTTATTGATCGACAGTCGACTTCTGGCTTCAAACTACTATGACCCGACTCTTAGTCATATTCGACCACTTCCACAGTATTTATCTTACCTTTTCTCAGCCTTTGTATCTGTCTGTCTCCTTTAAATCTGTGAATAATTATTCTGTCCCCCTCTCGTTTTTTTGTCACCTTGATGTTTTTCCTCCTCTTTGTGAAGTCCGAAGCCAGCTAAAGGGCTAATGATAGCTGTCAAAATGCCTGCCATTTGATTTAAATAAATAAATAAATGATATCGCCTAGAAATGTAGCAATGTCCTTTACTTCACTAACCACATTGCAGAATTTGTGTTGGAAAATAGCAGATGTTGGTTTACTTTCTGCTAGTTCAACCTTGATTTACAGAAGAGGCTCTGATAATTCCAGCTTTGAGCATCCACCACCGTTGAGAATTGAAAATATGCCCTAAGCTACAAGAAGACAATAAGATGGGGCTTCTCTCCAGGACCCACATTCAAATTTATGGGAAAATTAGCCCATAAACCAACATTGCTAACATTGCTTTCGTACAACTAACGTTACCGCGACCCATTTGCAGATAGATGCTGGCTTTAGGACACCAATTCTTTCAATTATGACAGCTTGTCGGAATACTGTTAACAAATCAGACTGCCAAGAATAGTTAACAGTCAATAAGAACTTGCGAGAATGGGAGAGAGTGAAAGGGAGAGGGAGGGAGAGGGAGGGAGAGGGAGGGAATAAAGAAAGACCAAGAATGGAGCATTTTTCCTATGAGCTTTGTGCTAGTCATGTTGCCAGACTTACATGTGAATAATCGTGAAGCAATCGATAGTCAGTGCGTCTCAAAGTGCGTCTCATAATAGCAAGCGTATTTTTCTTATTAAGGCGAAATAAATTTGTGCCAGTCAAATGTTTCAGGACATTTGGGAAAACACTTTAAGTCCCTCCTCTACGCTTTTAGAGGAACTAGAATGGAAAACTGGTTTAGTCTCTTTAATTTTTGCGCACTGACCTGGACAGTCATTGAAAACTGAAGAAAATAATTTGGCTATGTTCTGTTCATCTTCATTCCAATATTGAACTAACTTCTTCCAGCTGATTTGTTAACTGATTCGCTGGAATTCTCCTTATGATTTTTCGTTCCATTTTCGACAGTCTTCTTGGCTATTTTTGAATTTGTCATCTGAGTCGCAAATGACTTTTGGGCAAGGAAGTGGAAGATCGGCTTCAGTAATTCCAATTCATCTAACCAAGCGAAATCTTAAATTTACAAGTAGGGTTGATTTGTCATGTAGAAATTTGCAGTTATTTTATGATGGCCATAAATACTTGACGGTCAAGTTCACCCTAAAATTTCATAGCTCCACCAGAAGAGTTTTGACCTAAATATTTTGCCAGTTTCTGCCTTGGATAACAAATTGCTCTAGATGTTTTACTTGAGATCAAAGGTAATATCAGAGGCAGCATCCAAATCCAACTTGACTTACGTTTCATTAGGCAACAAGAAATAGTTGCCTTTATATGCTGAACTGACAACTTTGAGGAAATTTATACATCCAATATTCTTCCTGGAAGTCTTTTTCTCTAAGTTCCCCTTCATGTTTCTTTGAAATTCCGATTTTTTATGTCGTCTGTTTCGACTGACATTACAAGTATGATTTCTGTCAGGACGCTCTCCCCATTAGTACAGTTTTCACCACATAGCCAACAAGTTGATGCCATTTTTTTACTTAACGGTCGGACAATTCTTATGGAATAGCCACATTCAACTATACCAGTTTTAGCGTGGACTATTCCCATTCTTCGAAATTTATATTCTAAATACCTTAAGGTGATAATACATTGTTGCTCAATCAATCATAATCTGGTTGGCAGAAATCCTGCAGAGCATGAAGAAATAAAGAGTACTTACAGTGATCATTCAAAATAGAATTGATCAAAATTTCCATTTGTCCAAGTAATACGAATAATACCTAAACATTCATCTAGTCTCCTAGTCAATGGGAGAGATTTGAAGCACTTGGAAAATTCCGATGCTCTTTTTTGCACAGTTCACAGAGGATGGAAGTTTCTTCCTCGAACTTGAACTAACCTAGTTCTTTATGATGGATAGGTTCCGCGGTCTAACTCCTTTCTCCTCGAGATGGCAGCCAGGCCTATTTTTTGAACAAATCCTTGCATGTATCAAGATAGTTATTAAAGTACAAACCTCTTCTGGGTGTGTGGGAATGTTAGGATTATCTAGATTCAGGTTCAGATACTTTGATGACTGTTATGTTAGCTTCAAGAAAGATTCCTGATGTTGGTTTATCAGTTTCATGAGATTTTCTTGCTGTATTTCATGACCGAGTCGGCAAATGTCGTAAAAATTCAGAACTGCCAACAATAAAATTGCAGTAGAGAGGGAATATTATTTTTACGGCAGAAGTGTTTCACCAGTAGTATATTCCATTAGTTCGGAGCAAAATTCATAATTAAATCGGAATTGAGTAAAAAATGGAAAAAGAAGAAAGTATAATTTTCATATTGGGGTGTTGATAGACTTAACTCCACGTGATGCACCCTGGACAACGTATACTCATACGGCAAAAAAGTCAATTAATCGGCAGTTGACTCCTAACTACAAACTGCCATGACCCCACTGTATGTCATATCCCACCTCTTTCACAGTACTCACCTTACCTTTTCTCTGCCATTGTGTCTGTCTGTCTCCTTTAAATCTGTGAATCATTATTCCGTCCCCCTCTCGTCTTATTGTCATTTTGATGTTTTTCCACCTCTCTATGAAGCCCGAAGTCGGCTAAAGGAGTAATGATAACTATCATAAAGCCTGCCATTTGAAATAAATAAATAAACACTTTTCATATTGTCAAGGGAAAAATTAAACTAACTTGTATACTGTCAATGTCTTCTTGACAAAATTTATACTTTATTTCATTACTAGATGGTCAACTTTGTAAAAAAACGTTTTAAAAATTTTTTGCAAGGGTTTCCAATTGGGGTTGTTCCTACAAATTGCAGAGTTTGTTACTAGGTCAATTTACTTGAATGGCCGGGCAGGTCGTTTTTATCAACCGCCATCTCCTTGCAGGCACAAACAGGACATTCTATGCAAAATAGTGTTTACACTTAGTGAGGCCTTTTAAATACACGGATAACTCGTGCCAGGATTGGCTATGGAAACTCCCTAAATTGTCATCCTTTCACGCACACATACACAAATCATTGACGTAATGCTCGTAGGTAATAGTGCAAATCCACAAGTACCTTTATCAGCATGTTCCATGGATGTTAATTTCATTTCGTATTAGTACATTTCAGTGGTGCGAAGGGGGGGGGGGCGGGGAGCTTAAATAAGGGTGGAATAAAGTAAACATTTCAGAACACTTTGACAGAGCACGTTATCCATAACGTGATTTTATGGAGTACACTACTTTAAACTTAATTTTTCTAGTACCTTAACGAAATATAGTCGGAAACTCTCGAATTAAATGTTTCGAAATAAATTTATTCCAAAGCAATTAGCTAAAGTCGAATGAGCATAAGGAATCAATGTTTGAATGGTAATTATTTAAAAGTTTAGTTATTTCAAATGGCGGGCTTTATGATATTTTTGATTAGCCCTTTAGCTGACTTCGGGCTTCACAGGGGGGAAGGAGCATCGAAGTGAGAAAAAGTGAAAAGGGGGAAGAGAAGAGTAATTTTCAGATGCAAAAGAGACAGCCAGATACAAAGGCAGAGAAAAGGTAAGATGAATACTGTGAAGTTGTGGAGAATGACATACAGTGGGGTGATGGTAGTTTGAAGTCAGAAGTCAATTGGCGATTAAGAGACTTTTTGCCGTATGAGGAGGCTAGTCTATCGCACGCCAAGTATTTAAAAGTAGTCTGCTGTACATATCCAGAGGCATGTAAACATTTAGGAAAATGGTAATTTATGGACGCACTATGAAGTTCAGAGGTTAATTGGCCGGGAATAAAGATTATGAGAGAAACGCAGACTCAACACGAAGCACTGGTCTTCATCAACTGCCATACCATATTCAGGTCTGGAGGTTAAGTGAAAAGGTTGGAAAAGATTTAAGCCACTGCAAGAGATACCCTAGAAAAAAATCAAATCTCGAATATAATCTTGAGTTAGGCACGTTTTTTCTCATGTTTTCTTTTCACTAAGATTAATAATAATTTAATTATGCAAAATTAGGAGTTGCTATCAATGGAGCTGATATTTAGTTTTAAGCAAACACCCAGGAAAAAATCTCGCAGTTATAAGCTATAAAATTAAATAATGCGGTGATATATTGAAGGTACTTCCATTCCCTTGTTCTCTTCTCTAATAAAATTCATACCCAGTGGAAATATGCATCTTGGGAGGTCATCTATCACCCGCTTTGGGAAATCGTTCATCAACGCCCTGTAATTAACATGTAATGTTTACACTACTTAGTTGTTCACGAACGAATTTTAAAGCTCTCCAACTCAAAAAACTGCATTGGATAGGTCCAATAAGTACCCATCTGTAATTACGATAGCACAATTTATCAAATTTTCCAAGTCCGCTTTTAATGAAGTCTTATCGATGATGAAAACTGCGTTTTCCTGGACCCCTTTTTTAACTGGACCTAACCAGCACGATCGGATTTCTTTGTTTCTTAAGCAGTTATTATCGCTGAGTTTCTAATTAGGGTAATGCTGAGGTTGATCGACACGACAACACCTTTTTGCTTATCGCATATGAATTTAAGAGGAAATCAATAACCAAGCCGATTTACAATTTATACCAAATATATTTTTAACTTATTAGAAAAGAGATCGATAATCATAACACACAATCCTGAATGCTATAATAGATTTACATAAATAAAGGTTAAAGTGATTCAAATTCCCCGCCTTCTCAAAGTATGTAATTAATTCTAAAACATACCCCCCCCCCTCCGGGCAATTTTAGCAAGCAACCCGAAGCGAAAAGTTCTTAAACATTTTTAAAATATAAATTCGTCTGATTATAGAAAATTAGACGTTCTTGCACTATATTATAACGGAGATTTATAAGGTCTTCTTCACTAATCGATTTTACCAATACTCAGACATAGATGTAAAATAACTTGATTTGAGCAAATTTTTTCTTAACTTTTCATTCCTTGGAAGCAATTTCCGTCGTGTTCAAAGTTCAACTGGATTGAAGCTTGGGAACCAGAGCGGACGCCAAAAATATAATTCATTTAATTTCCGTGTCCAAGTAGCAAAATAATCGCATAATAAGTCCTTGTTTAACTTTCAAACATTAAGCTTTAATAGTTCGCCGTTAGAGTTAATTACCCACGGCTTAAATATCAGACAAACTAAAGATAGTAAAGTGTTCCGAAAGATTATTGATTTTACCTAATTAGGAAAAAAAATTATCAGACAATTTTATTTCTCAATTCGCTAGCTGAACAGTGAGACGTTCAACCTCCATTCGGAAACGGGATTGGGTTTTTTTGAAAAATTTGCTTCTATAAAGATTATAGTAGAACTAGAGAACCGGTTTCTCTCTACCTTGAGGAACTCGGAATCAAGTAAAATATTTAGTTGTGAATTGAGCAATTTTCATGATCGAAGGATTGCATTGATGTCCTTTTATCGATCGCTTCAAATTCATTACACGATATGTGAATGTGTACATTTTAGACTGACTAATTAAAAATTTTCTGAAAGTATAGACACGTGAACTTTGATCCACTATGCGTTACCCTGTTAACATCTTGACATTTAAGAGAAACGCCCTAATCAACCAATCAAATTTAAAAAGCATGTTTCTTTTCGAGACATTAGATTAAAAAAATCATGACAAAAAAACCAAAAAGTAAAATGTAACTTCGAAATTTACTTGTTTCCTTCTCCATTCCTCCCATCCCCCTTTCTGGTCTCATTTAACTATTCCCTGTATTCATGCCCTTCATCGCAATCAAATAGTGTAAATTCTTCACTATACCACGGATAAAAATGCGTTGGTGGTACCCAGTGTGTACGTTAGTAGACAATAAACAGAGCCATTTACTTGCTTTAAATATTATTCATACATATAGTTGACATTTAAATCTGTCCTCGAGAAAAGTGCTTTGTTTATGCTAAAATGAAATGGTTCCAGTAAACCGAAACTGTCCTGGCAACAACTTTCACCTATATTCTTTTTGACCATTCCATTAGATACTTAGCCTCTTCATTGTCCACAATTAATTATCTAATCATTACATCACAATGCTATTCACAATGAAAGTTCTATCAATTTAATGGAAATTCGAGGTATCCTCAAGTTTTAGCTCACTCTAATTAATCTATCTGTTACTATAATATAAAAATCGATGCTGCCATCAAAACTAATCCTGTAATGCAATAATGAACCAACGTGTTCAAATATTCTAGAAGTACCCACTCTCCTTATTGAGTTCCCTACAGCTAATATTGTAGGTTTCCTCTTCAGTGTTAAATTCACCTAACCATGGCTGCACTGGCCTAATATTTGATTTTGAAATGGATATGTACAGCTTACAAATCGTTTGTTACACTGACCTCAAAAATTGAGAGATTTTAACAGATAAATCTTACCAGCACTAATAATGTTTAAAAGTAAAATGATCGGAAAAGATGTTTTAGTAAGTCATTTACCATCGGGCAGGATTATAATAAGTAGGAATATGAACGACTTAATTCAATTATTCGTAAGAATGAATCGAACGATTAAACAATATAAAAGTCTAAAAAATAACAGCAAAAAAGGCTCGCGAAAATAAATTTAGGTAAAGTCAAGATTTATCTATCTACCAGTCAAAACGACTAATTCATGGCTTCCCCTAAATGGTCGAATTCGTCTCAACCAATTAGAATCGGACCTAGTTGCATCAGAACTTCATTAGCTCTAATCTCTATCCCCTCAACCAAACAAGTACCACGCATGAACTTCAAGGTCATTTTTCTACTGGCCAACTGTTTTCACCCTGCCTTTCATCGGCTAGCTACATAGTTAAATCGTAAGCTGAGCTTGGACATCATTGACTGCCTCGTCATAATTGGAAATGGAGCTCAGTTGCGGCGAACAGTGTCTACGTGTTTTGCTTGTTGTTTGCAATCTCCTCGTTTTTGTAATTTGTATTTTTTTGTCACTAATCACTCCTCCTTGTATAGATCGTTTCTAGCGTTTGCGCTGGATTTGCAGCCTATATCCTTGCTAAAGTTAAAGAGGTCACCGATGATAACAATGCCATTGTTAGTATCACAATTATTCTTGTTGTGGTACTCTTTACCGTCGTTCTCAGCTTCTTTGGATGCTGTGGAGCATGGAAACTCAATACCTGCATGCTTAAAACCGTAATTCATCATCCAATCATAATATTATCGATTACTTTCAGTTCGCTGTTATCATTTCTATTCTGTTGATTATTGAAATAATCGTTGGAATATTGGTTCTGGTGTATAAGGAGAAGGCAGGTTTCTTTTTCTTGTTTAATTAGTAATTAATAAAATCTAGGTCAAGGATTATGCCAGTGCGTACGTGAAACAACTCATTTATAACGTCGAAGTGTCGGGTTCTGTTGAGGCAGAGGGAATATTGCGAAATCTACAAGAAAAGGTATGGTACTTGCTTTTGTTTTCATTTTGTTAGCTTAAATGTTGTGGTGCCACTGGGGAATCAGATTGGCAGGACCCTAAAACATTCTGCTGCCCTCGCAATAACCCCAACTGCCAGGTGATCACTGGAAAGGTGGGTTTCGTTCTCTACTTGTTTTCCACTTAAAGTCTTGTTATTTTGATTGCGAACGCACATAATTAGTTTAATTTGAACTTTGGTCTTCACGTCCTTTGTTTAACATACTAGTCACGTTTTCATGCCACTCATAATTTAAGTGAATAGAATAATAAGATATGAAAATTACTGATATATATATCACTTTTTGACTATCGGTAGTAATTTCTCTGCTTTGCTTTTTCTAGGGTTGTGTTAATGTCATCTACGATTACTTGAAAGGCCACTCAGTGGTCGCTGGAATTTTGGTTCTTGTCCTGGCGGTTGTGGAAATCGGTGCAATTGTCGCTGCCTGCTGTTTGGCTAAAAATCGTAGTGTATGAGGCGAAATAAAATCGAATCATTTTCTTTCGAGTCGATTTTACACTTATTTACAATCAATGTTACATATACCAATTAAAATCGAGATATAGTTGTTCCCACGCTTTGACCCCTCTCCTTTTTATTCCCCTTCATCCCCGTTTTCTGTCTAAAATTCCGCTTTCCTTAATTAATCCGATTTATTCGTTAATATAACGCTTCCATTTTACAATATGGTGAATTTTGTTATATCCATGGCAGTCGGCTTAGGAAACTTTCCTTAAGGGTTTCGATCGATGTTAGCAATCCACGACTTAGTGTCTGTGTTCTAGATCAGCCCTACTTCAAAAGAGTGTCCACAAGCAGTTACACTGCTTTGGCTCCTTTTGGATCTATCTTGTTTGAGATATGGGTTTTTGGGTGCTTGGGGTTTATTTATTTCGGCCTGTTGGTACGCTTTTTTATGACGCTTTTTTTTTTCTCATCTCAACACTAAAGCTAAGGGCATTGAATGCATTAGTTTAATTACTGTCACAACATTGTGGATTTTAAGTTTCCGCAGTTAGTAAATTATCGATCGCAGACTAACGAAATAATTGGAAATTCCTCGTTTCGAATGTATGTTTCGACGACAACTTGCGTTCTCTCCGCACATGCTGGTTTTAGCCAATCAATGGCACATCACGTGATTTCTATAAAGCCTGGGCGCGGGGCTGGGTTAGTCATTTCCACTTTAGTGACCCAATTTTCTCTCACATTGGTGCACGCTCAGTGAGCGCGATAGCCACTTCACTCCTAATGAAGTCGGTAGTTGAAGAGAAGGCAAAGTTGAACACTAAAGGGGCAATTAAAAGATTTAATAAGTCTCTTGCTTCTTTTGCCAATTTTTCCGCACCCCTCTCTCCTTAAATTCTCTACTTTTTGTCTTCCTTATTATTCGACAAAGTAAGCTCTAAGATTCTAATTGTTATTTCGTTGCTTCTAAAACTTATGGGATTTCTCAAATAACGGAAACAAATTTGACATTTGTAGTGAGAAATTGGGACAAAAATTATTAGTTTGGTGAAATTTTGAAAATGCATTGGTCACCGCGAATGTGTGTGTATCTGTGTTACACTTTCAGGACGTATATGATACGTCTGAAGTAACGGATATATCCCGAGAATTTTCTTTGGCCGGAATGATCGTCCGCCCTCGTTATTACCGGGATTTAAAGGGGGCGGGGTGGCAGAATGTGTTTGACCAAGCATGCATAAATGCGCGAGGTTAATGTTCAAAGGGACAAAATTTGTGGTGTATTACATGGGTTGATTCATTTTAACAGGATGAGCCTCAAAAGCGTTCACAGGATGATCTCTCCCTTAAATGGGATTGTGAGGACACAATCAGCTGAGTTTTAAATAGACTCCCTTTAATGAAATTTAAGTATAGGATGTTAAATGCCTAGGAGTTAGGCCGTGTCATCTAGTCAAACAACTCGACATAAGCCTATCTTCAAACCACCCATCAAATTCAACACTTTGCTAAATTAATACTCTAGGTAAATTTTGACGTGGCATGGAAACGCATTTATGCGGGCAAATAGGGTAGTGGGGATTGATCCAAGGTTTTCATCTGCCTGAGAGGTAAAAATGTCTTTTCCTCTTGCTAAACAGTAGCTTTGGTTTAAAATAGTGCGCAAATGCAAAAGAAAAAAAAACTACTGGCTGTAATTTCACTCTTATGTCGATCTAGGCCTTGCGTAGATGGATTTCATTACTTTTTTACAAGAATTCTGCGGATTTTGTGAGAAATTGACCCGCTCTACTACCTGACTGCTTTATTATGAACAGCGGATGAATGGAGCTGGATTGAGAGCAAAAGTTATTCACAGGGCTAATAAATAACACTATGACGTATCTTTGTTCCAGGGTAGTAGACAGTACTAGTGGAAAACCACACGGCTTTTTTATGCCACGGGAAAACACAGTGGATACTACCAGTAGAAAAATCGATATGAACTCATATGGACCTGAATATAATAAAGTACATCCAGGCCCTCGATGAAGTAGAAAATCAATAAACACGTCTAGCGAATAAGGATCCAGGTGCGATGATATTTAGAGAAAATCATTCGGAAATTTGCCTTACTGCATTAACTTAAGCCCACACTGCACCAAGTGTGGAATTTCCTAGCAAACTCCACTAAGAAACAGATGAACCAACCGATTAATAAACAAAAAACAGCAATGAGCATGCTTTTTTCAAAAAATATGGTTGCCACAACCACACGGCTTAATTCTGGTTTACAAGAAAAGCAGTTTAAACCAAGTTGCTAATTATGGGTTTGCTTAGACGGGAACTATCAATATTAACGACAATAGCACTTTAAATTCAGATAAAAATAGCCATATGGATAAAAGAAAAAATTCTGGTTACTTGGAGAAGTTAATTAAATCGATACAGCAGGAAGAGTGGAATTATTTTTAGCCTACCAAATTGAAGTTAATATTAGAGGTGGATCAATATTATTTAAAATATATGAAAAATGTTATTATAATACTTTATTATTCTATCTCATACAAAAATTTTATTTTAATAAAATAAAAATTCGGCTTAAGACAAAGGCACTCTAATTGTTTGATGAAATAATTACTGTAGTTTAAGTTATTTTTGTAAAAGACATGAATTGTAAAATCCACTTTAAGGGAACAAAACTTACATAAATATGGGGTGGCCCATATGCCCAAGTGAAGCTTCATCTATTGAGCGAATAGTTAACAATTAATAATAGATATACAAATAGGGATAGAATCATGAGTGAACGTAGACTCAAAACTCGAAAGAAATTTAATCTAAAGGTGGAGTCTCCTAAACGGCCTAGTTAACAACATGAGTATGCTCAACTTACCTATGTTTATACTACCTAAAGGTTCGGTTTTAGCACAAGTAGAGAGGCCCTGGTAAGATCTTTGTCCTCCCACCTGTAGAGTCTTTCTCTAATTTGCATAAAGATAAACGAGACTACACTATTGGACATAAAATACAATCATACCCATGTTCCGTGTTTGGTGTAGCGTGAAATGTCAAGTCGTTAATCGCTTACCGCTTTGAGCATTTATTTATTTATTTCAAATGGCAGGTGTTTGGATAGCTATCAATAGCCATTTAGCTGACTTCGGGCTTCACAGATGGAAGGTTCATCAAAGTAGCAGAAAGTCGAGGGATGGGGAAGAGAGGAGCGATTCACAGATATAAAAGAGGCAGACAGACAGACAGACACAAAGGTAGAGAAAAAGGTAAATTGAGTACTGTGAAAGTGGTGGGATATGACATACAGTGGGGTGATGGTAGTTTGAAGTCAGAAGTCAACAGCCAGTTAATAGACTTCTTTTGCCGTGTGAGAAAAAACGAATGCCGAGTGATAGAATTTTTGCCGTAAGAAAGTACGTTGCCCAGGGTGCACCACGTGGAGGTAAGTCTATCGTAGTTAACTGCCAGTTAATAGACTTTTTGCCGTATGAATATAACGAAAGCCGAGTGATAGACTTTTTTGCCGTAAGAAAATACGCTGCCCAGGGTGCACCACGTGGAGGTAAGTCTATCGCACACAAACTTCCGGTTAATAGACTTTTTACCGTATGAGTATACGTTTCCCAGGGTGCACCACGTGGAGGTAAGTCTATCGCACACCCACCAGGGTGCACCACGTGGAGGTAAGTCTATCGCACACCCCTTGTCAGGATGCACCACGTGGAGGTAAGTCTATCGCACACCCCAGCTTTGAGCATAGTGGTTAATAACCTTTGTTTATCATATTCCTCTTCCTTCCCCAGAACAAATTACCAGAAGTGGTTTGTATGGGGCTGCCAATAATCACATTGGCCAGTCAGAATGGCTGCATTTATTAACCATTCAGTAGTGGGAAACATTATATGAGGGTCTATTCTTTTCGCGAAAGGGGAGCCAACCAACCACCTTATGATAGCCAAGATGCATTTTTCTCTCCTGCATTTTTAGAGCACGATTAACTGTCGCTTGCATACAAATGTCATTCATTTTTGATTGATGAATTGTTGTAGTCGATAAAGGCACCTGACTCCCTTCAGTCTTCCTCCAAAATTTTCTTGGAGTCATAGCATTAGGCACACGAACGCTCAGCCTTAAGCGACTGCAAGTAGTAACATTATGAACGTCTAGACTTTCTTTCAGTTGGGGATACCGGTGCTCCGAAAAGTGAGCCCAAAAATTACTGCAGTTTTCGTTCGCGAATTGTCAGGAAAGCACCCCCCCCCCCTCCAAAAAAAATCGATTTTATGATTCTTTGGGGTTCAACGGTTATGATGGTTGAGTTTTTCTTGAAGGGTTTTAATAAAATGAATAGTTTTATTCAATAAAAAAATAAAATAGGCAATGCTGTATGCTTGTTACAGTCTATTACCGGTTAGTAATAGAATTAGAGTTTTGTTTGAATAGCTTAATTGGTTAAGAACACAGTTGGGAAGTGTGATTTACTCAAAAATTACCCCTAAATTGGAAGTTGTTTAGTTAGGTGTGTTCATTTATTGTTTCTATTCAAAATTGATCAAGTGCCAATGTATTTGATCTTAAAACATCTAGTAATTCCTCAACCACGCATATTTTAAAAAAGTTTCTCATGTTAAAGTAAACATTCATGTAGTATCTCGAGCTACATGCCAGTTCTCGCATCAATATTACCCTTCATATAGCAGGGCTTAGCTATTTGATTAAGTTCCCCCCGATTAAATCTCCCCCGAATACCATTAAATCAGTGGCCTCTTTACCTGAATTGAACCATCTAGACCAGGGAAAACTGATGGAAAGAAAGCAATGGTAGGTGTTTTTATATATAACATTGGGAATGAGTAGAAAGAACCGACCCATCACTATGAGGCCATCTGATATCTGTAATCTCTTGTCAAGTATTGACCTCGAGACCTCTCTGCTTCTGCCATCAATCTAGTCAAGGCACCTACAAACTTTATAGTCTGAATATTTTTAATCAACACGTCGTTCCTACCTT